GAGGTCAGTGTGGTAATTGGATGTCTCTTCATGGTCATAAATTATCTTCACTGATGCGAGGTATGGGTTCTTGAATTTGTCAGGCAGGTTGTGAGGGTGGCTAACGTGCCTCTGTGGTGTTGTGCTGATTGGCAGAAAGGGGTCTTGTGTCCCCATTTTGTCCCAACGGATGAAGCTATGATGAGAAGCCAGGGCTGTGCCGAATGGTTTTTATTTTGACATTCAAAGGTTCTGTTGACAATTTCTGTTGACATCATCACACTAAAAAAATAGAACAAAATCCTCTATTTGGATAAGATGACTCGTTGGATTAAATGAGTCAGTCATTTTTTTATTAAATCAACTTTCTTTAATGACAAAATGTAATTTATGGTGCTGTTAGATTGCTGCTGGAATGCCCCATTAATACACATGTGCCTTCCTTTGTGTGTTCAGTAGGTTTTATAAAGTAAGAGGTGATTAAACGACGTCATTAAAGGACATCTATAGGTGTAAAAATAGATGTGTTGATCTTGTTTCAGTGTATTTATATCTGTTCTATTTTATGGTTGCAATTACACAATTCTTTTTTGTTCCCTTAATTTAATCAGAAAACAAAAGTAGTTGACAATGTAGAAGAAACCCTTCTGCAAGTCACTACTTTTTGGTTATTGTGCAGTTCGACAAAACATTAAACACTTAAAAGATGTGACAAAAATAGACAGCAGGGTGTGTATCATATCCATACATGCTAATCAATCACCCAAACCCAACCAGGCATCAATAGGACTTAGTACTGCTGTGTAAGTGAGAAAGAGATTGATAGAGAGGTGGACTATTGCACGCAAGGTTTCTGTAAGTTCTGAATAACTCAAACACCACAGGTCGGGCAGTATCACCAGATGCAAAGCAAGAGCTACACTCCAGCTGCCAGCTGCAGATAATCGTCCACAATTCGTCTCACCTGTTCCTTTTCCAAATCGGACTGCCAATTAATCGCTTGTAGAGGGGGTCGATGACTAAGACTGTGTCTGACACTTGCCACATCCTCTCAGTTTCCTCGAAACAAATATCGAAGCATTCGAATACTGATTTTGATGTCATTTACCGTTGTTACAATTGAAGCATCGAAGCAGTCACATCAGCCCTACTAACAAATATGGACTGCAGCAGAATATTTTGTTAGGTAAAAGCATGTTGTGAATTTTGGCAATGACTGCACCTATCTTTTTCATATGCTTTTGGCTGTTGGACCTGAGAACGCTCTGGAGTTATCGAAAATGTTTCAGTTACACGAGTCGGAAACAATCCTACTCAGCCACCACTGGAATCTTATTCTACAAAAAGTTTAACACTAATAATATTAGCGTAGCCTGATCTTTGTCTGCAGCTGTGCAGAAGTATTGGGTTTAAACAGAATAAATAGACTTGCAAAAAAATACATTTAGAATTTAAATGTCAGCGTTATGAATGAAGCTTCAAACTATTTGGTACAGCTCTACAGTAAACTGATGGAGGGATACAGAGGGGATCATAGCAGGTTTTTAGTGTGTGTAAACATGTAAAAGTGTATTCATGTAAACTTTGGCTTCACTGTACATTACAGATAAGGACAGAGAGCTACAGGTCTGGATTATAACATCATCTGTCACATTTTGAAACAGCAAAACCTTCAGTATCTCTCTCTGTTCAGTAAAATGTTTTCTGTTTCTGTAAAAGGAAACAGTACAGAGTTACTGTATCAATATGGTAGGAGAGTAGAGTGCACAGAAAACATGACTCTTTTATTCTCTGAGTCTGAAAAAAAGAGTGGATTACCAGAAAAATACTTTGCTGCTGATCCCAGTGCATCTGAGAGGCTCGACTTGTCTCTGACTCAGACACTGACGGTAAAATTGCCAAATCATGAAATCGTTCTTTGGTGTTTTGTGTTGGTGCACTCTTGAAATACCCAGTGTCTGAAAGCCTCGGCTGTGAGGAGCCCCACAGACTGCTGTTATGAGCGGTGACAGTAACCGCGGCCTTTTGATAAAACACAGCTTGGCTGAATCAGTCAATGTTCTGTAAAAACACTGAGCAAGCAGGAATAGATTGCCTGTTCTGCAGCTGAAACCAGAACCAATCACACTGGGTACCAATGTTCCCCTGATCACATTTTTTTTGATGAGTAGACCTCGCATGTGAAAACAGTGTTGCAGGACCTGCCACTAAAAATACTCTCCTTTCATGAGCTGACCTTGTAGTTTCTTATTTTTTCCTCACAAGGACAATTACGTTGTTACATTGTGTATAAGGAAAGTGAGGTCAGGCCGGTTCAGATTGAGCCTAACGCAGAGAGTCATTTCTCATGACTCATTTCAGGGATGAAGGATGTTGCAGGAATGAGTTTGCACTTGACTGCAGAAGGAAGCTGAAGGATGAAGCACGGAGGGCACTGGTAATATTCGAACAAAATATTCCGTGTGCTGCAGCAGACTGAAGAGTGCAGACTCAGCTTCTAATCTGAAATGGCCACGAGTCATCCTTCATCTGCACTGACCTCTATCTACCACGCTTAACTAACACTTAACTTGCACCGTGCACATTAGGAACCAATCAATTACTGCACCATCCTCTTAATAACATTTACAAAACTCGTTATCATTTTAATTAAAAGCTATAATAAAGTTTTGTCAGGCCATGCGCAGAAGTAGATAATAACCACAATCAGCTGTGTTTAATTGTTAAGACCAAGATGTCAGAGCAGGGACATTATCAACAGAGCCTCGTTATTATCACACACATACAATATATTGTCATATTGGTTGTTGCAGTGCGATGAAGAGCTCTCCGTCAAGAGAAAGCCATTAGTCATGTGAGTAAAATGGATTAGGCTTCAAACAGAGTTCAATACCGATAAAGCGTCTCGCAGTCTCTTCTGTTTTAACCATGGTGGTAAGATATTGACCAGACGTCAAACAAATAAATATAAATCACCTTAAACACTGGAGGAAATCCAGCAGGAACTGGCGGTTTCTTCTCTTGGGTTTATAAAGAAAGAGGTGATTAGACCACATTATTAAAGGACATGTATAGGTGTGAAAACAGGTGTGTTGATCCAGTTTCAGGGGTGCAGTTACATGTTTCTTCTTGTCCTTAGATTTAATTAGAATGTCGCAAATGTAATGGACAATTTAGGAAAAGATTTTGTTTTGCAAGTCTCTATTTTTTTCTCCACCAGGGACAATGTGTTGGTCATGTGTGCATCCGTCTGTCCGCAGCTAATCTGGCAAACTACTGGACCAATCAGCCTCATATTTTGTGTGCGCATTCATGACTGTAATCACAAGGATCTCTCGTGTGGTGATTCACAATTGTTGAAAAACCTTTTTAGTGTTTTATATCGTCATTGACTGCTGACTTATCTGGCCAGTAGAGGCCGAACGTTTTCTGGAAATTGGCTTGGCTGAAAACAGCTGCTGCTCCTTCGTGTCGAAAAGGTTTAGTTGAGGTGGTTCGGGCATCTGATCAGGATGCCTCCTGGCCGCCTCCCGTTAGAGATGTTCCGGGCACATCCAACTGGTCAGAGGCCCCGGGGCAGACCCAGAACATGCTGGAGGGATTACATATCTCATCTGGCCTGGAACACCTTGGAGTCCCCCAGGAGGAGCTGGCAAGTGTTGCTGGGGAGAGGGACGTCTGGGGTGCTTTGCTTGGCCTGCTGCCCCCACAACCCGGCCCTGGATAAGCGGATGAAAATGGATGGATGGATGGATGGATGGATGGTTGGTTGGTCTATTGGATGGTCTATTTTAACTGTAAGGGAGCCGGGAGGGAAAATTCAAGCAAGTGTAGCTGCACCATGTACCGGGTGCCATGGCTACGACCCCTTTTTTTTCCTCAGTCCACCACACATACCACACCAGGAGTGTTTCAGACGCGGAGGGTTTTGCCAGCGTGATATTGTAGATTTGCAGATTTTGTTGATTTTGTCATTTTTCCTTGATATTTTGCTTTTACCATAAGTCGGTAATTTTGTTTTCTTCTTTATTAGTTGTGTTTATCGTTGTTATTTCCTACTTTGTTGTTCTGTAGCCTACAGACCGAGTTAGTACCGTTGAAGTCCAATTGTTAATGACATGGATCAAAGGTTTGTTGTGTTGTTTTAGTTATTGAAATACATTCATCCACATAATTATGTTGTATATTTATTTCACATACAGTGCCTATTAGCAGGAAAATGCTATCGCCTCAGTGAAATGCGCCATGGCTTCGTCAAAAATAGACAAGCCATGTATTGTTCTTAGCTTCTGAATTGTGCTGCACAGCGTCTGTGGAAACTACAAGAGTTGTCTAGAGTAGCTGCGATCAGCCTGCGGTGTGCAGCTGCCTTGCAAAGATCTGCACTTTACTACTGCAGCACTTTTGGTTATTAGTGAAAATACAACAAAACAATAAATAAAACTGTTAAAATTGGACAGTGTTACAATATAAACAGAGACAAAGGAAACAAATACACATGCAAAATATCAAAAACAGACTGGATATGGAAGTAATGGTAATATCATATCATAACAGTAAATGTGATAATATTGGCAATTACACAATTCTAAAATAACACAAAAGGCATACAAAAGGCTTCTTTTTACAGTGTAGCGTGTGCGTGTTCACCCTCAGATGGAATGTGTCAAGTGACAGTGTTTGCACAGTGGAAGGATTCAGGGTCAGAGCTGTGTGATGGCCGTGATGCTCCACTCTCTCTGGTCTTTTTTCTAGGACACACCAATATAAGATGCCCCCTCTCATTCCTCAGGGCACGGCGCTGTATGCATGGCGGAGGAGACTATTTTTATCTCATTATTATAAACGCCTCATATAGAAACACTGAAAGGTTTCCTCCAATTGCCAGGGAAAATTGCTCCATTGCTTCTCCTCAGTTTTTGGCCTTCTGATATCTGCTCATGCATGTCCACCTTACATCTTTGTTCCTGTATCTGTTTAATGTAAAGTCACATTGTTGTTGTTCTCTTTGTGTCTTCCAGTGCATGAGGAACCCAGCTCTGCTGCAGAGGACAGGTTTAGTCATTAGAGTGCTTTGCCACATCCAGGAAAATGTCTGGCTCCTACGATGAATGTGCGGGTGCTGACGACACCATGGACAGCTTCTGGGAGGTACGGACAACACCGTCATATCTGTTCTCACATGAGCCAAGACCTGAGCCCTTACCATCCTCTGTGTCTTGTATTAATGTGGCCTCTGAAGCCCAACAGAGTCACCACTGAAACCATGAAAATTAGATTAGTGTCACCAAGTTTTTACAGGAAAATTTGTCTCAGAAGTTGCAGCGATGCTGTTCGGTACCCACTGAGGCTCAAGGAGGAAGTTGCACAAATTAAGCATGGCCTGCCGGGAGTAAGATGGGAAGATTGATAGCACTCTCAAATCTTATTTTTACACTTTATGCTAAGCTATGCTAACCAGCTGCCGACTCTAGCCTCATATTTTACAGATATGAGAGTGATATCAAAGTTCTCATCCTGTCATTGCAAAGTGTATTTCCCTTGAATGTCTAACTATTGCCTTCAATTTTTGGATTCGTAAAGGAATACTTAATCCACCAAATGTGCATTTGTGTAACAGCTACTCACCCTGTGTTACACTGAATTTGGGAGCTTGCATGACTCCATAGTGAACGAATCCAAAAACGGAGAAAATTCTTGATAAACTGAAAGCATAGGGGACTTCATTTAACAACAGTAAAACTATATATAGGGTTGTTTATTTATGAAACGTGTAAAGTGAGACCTAATGTAAAACACAGATGTGTTTCAGCTTTGGGAGTCAAACTGTGGAATGGACTCAGTGCTGATTTGAAATTGTGTTGCTCTCTGTTGAGTTTTTAAAAAGCCTTGAAATGTCAAATGATTATTGATTGTAATTTAGAGTATAATGTGTTTAATTATAAATTTATTTATTTCCTTTCTTTGGTACAGTTGATATTCTGGGTTGTCCTTTGGTTAATATAGGACAAGCAAAAATAAGCCGGGGGCTTCAGGCTGTTCCTTTTTCGATTACTGACTGTGAGAAAATTTGTGAGAAATAATCTTTGTTTCTCCAGACATATGTAACCAAAATAAAATTATTCATTCATTCATTTTATATCACACAGTCTGCACAGACAGTCTCAGGCACAGACGTCGTTTATGCAAAAGTCTTTTAAATAGTAGTGTGTTAGCGAAAATGCATATGTCTGTTAAGTACTGAGGATATGACCGGATAAATGAGGCTTGGCTTATACTGCACAAGTTGCATGACAGTTTAGTTTTTGCTGTAGTTAAACACAAACCCCTGTGACTTCATTACATCAAGTTTGTTCAAACTGGAGGCATGCAAGAAAACAAAGGGAACATTTAGGGGGGTGAAGTATTCCTTTAATGATGACCAGGAATTTCTCTGCTTCATTAAGCAGAAGTGCAGCTAAAAAGCTTTTATGCAAATGGAAAGTTGCAGTGTCTGTATTTTTGGTCACAGAGCAAAAAAATTAGTTATATCTAGTCTTTGGTTTTATCTAGACTTTAAAACATAGATGTCCCTTGTCTGTAGTGTCAGTACAGCGTTCTGGTCTGACACATTCAGCTTTAAAAAAGGAAAGAAAATAAGGAGTAATCATCCAAACAAACACTCTTACATAACTCTTATTTATTATCATATTTTGTAAACACGTCCATGTACCTTTTAAAATAATTAAGTAAGTTATCATGTCCTGCTTTCACGTTTAGTTTCTGGTTAATGAAGCCCATTTATGCCAGGAAGAAAAATACATTGAAGTCTGGAATAACAGGATAAATATACTCATAACACGCCCAAATTATGAGCTACAAATTCAAATAAATTGGTCTTTTGTGGACTTAATTCAACTTGGGCCCATTTGTATTTTTAGTATTTCTTGTTGTGTATCTTTTCTCCTGGCAGACAAGAAGGCAGGCTGTGAAAAACTGAAGATGAGATTAATGCAGCAATTATTCTTTTGGTTTAAATGGGCTTCCATCATTTAGTTAAACTATCTGCGCACAAATGATTTTACAATAATTACTGTGTTACTTTGTTAAAGATGTGAGTGCCAAATGTGAACCTGCCACAGACACTATTTCAACACAGTTGTTTCTTATTGAAGAGAATATTTTACCTCTATTGTTAATCATGTGTATTGTAAATTGTGTCATCACAGGAGACATCACAGCAAATATAAACATCATACAATCCATCCTCACTTCTTGTGCTGAGATGCAGTGCGTGTACTTTTTACCCCGCACCAAATTAGCGTTAATGAATTCCCTCAGTACAGAGTCTTCTTTGTATCATGGCTCTCAGCCACAGAGACAGAGACAAAGAGCCTCAGTCATCAGTCGCTCTGAGGCCGTCTTTCACCACATGCACCTGCCTATAGCATCTGTATACTAGCAACACAGCTCGGGTCGGTTCATGCTTTATAAATGCTGGAGAAAAACACTCAATTCTCAGGTTTTGTCATCAGAAACGTTGATATTTGATCCAACTAGGCCGAGAGGCACTAATCAAGTGTAACCAACCATCACCACCATGTTGAATTGCGGCACAAAAACAAGAGCTGGCTCATGTTTTCATGTGTAGAACCAGTCCACCTGCGTGTTGTTGTTGGTGTGACTTGGCAATCTGTCACGCAGGCCAACAGTCATACCGCCGTACACCTGTCTCACTGCCTCCCTGCAGCTCTCTCATCTCAAACCGTAACCGCACATGCATGTTTGTGTCAGGGCCAATCACAGCGCAGCCCTGCAGCCAGCAAACGCATCAGACAGGCTCTCAGAGAGACACACGTGTGTGTGATGTATGTATGAACACGACTGTATGTATTTACAGCAGCAGTGTGTGGTTTCTATGTATTTCTGTCTCTACCTCGACGTCTATCCCTGAGAATCTGTCTGCCTGCATTACACCACTCAAGAGGATTAAAGCAGTCACACACACACACACACACACACACACACAAACACACACAAGCCCATGTCATTGCATAACTACACATGCACAGGCACGAGCACCCCCCCCCCCCCCCCCCCCCCCCCCCCCCCCCCCCCCCCCCCCCCCCCCCACCACACTACCCTCCCTTTATCATGCACCATGAGCTCACGCCCCCTGCAGGCACTGAGGAGGTGGATCCACACGGCCTGGCTCTGCTCTTTTAAGGCGGTATCACTTAAGGTGGCGAGACCTAAAAGAAAAGGCAGGAAATAACTCTGGATACTGGAGTGTTTATAGGATAGGACAAAAAATGTTTTGATGTCTTTATCCAGAAAATAAATGTGGCTGAAGCTGATTGTTGTGTGGAACTGAATGTGCATGAATAGTGCAGCATATTAGATACTGCAGTTGATTGAACGTGCTGTACATTTCAGGATATACTTAGAGATTAGCATCAAAATATCCAAAACAGTGCTGGATACCATGCATTCTAAGATAAAATGGGGCCAGACGCCCACCCACATGTAACTCAGCCAGTGCCCATTTTGGAGCACAGATTTTGAAGTAAACATGATCTAAAATTAGTTTTAAATTATCTCTGATTTCTGACAAAGACAGACAGAATAACATTTTGGTAGCAGACAAGGACGTTAATGTGAGGATCCATCAAGTTAAAAGCGAAATAAAGATATATGTATTTTTGTTAATTATAAAAATGTGAAAGCATTAACATCTTCCTCCACACCTATATTTCTATCTAATGGTAAATGGACTGCACTTGTATCGAGCCTTTCTAGTCTTCTGACCTCTCAAAGTGCTTTTAGACTATCCACCCATTCACACACACACATTCACACACTGGTGGCAGAGGCTACCAAGGTGCCACCTGCTACTCAGTAACCATTCACTCTCACACACCAGTGGAACAGCCACTGGAGGTAATTTGGGGTTCAGTATCTGGCCCAAGGATACTTTGACATGTGGATTAAAGGAGCTGGGGATCAAACCGCCTATCTTTCAATTAGTAGATGACCTGCTCTACCTCTGAGTCACAGGCACCCCAGTCTGGTTTTTATTTCTAAAATAGTTAAAGGTGCAGTGTGCAACGCCTGGCCACGTGCTCCAAACTAATAGGGGCATTTCACCTCCAAACCAACCAGTATAAGCTCTCTTAGCTTTTTTTTTAGTTTAGTCAGTAAACAAAATAAACTTTCCAAAATGTCAAGAAAGATTTTTTTTACACCTATTATCCTTGTTAAACCCTAAAATACAACCATACATGTTCTGAATTTAAGTTTCTCTCTTTCACCAAACTAAGACTAGCCCAGTGTTTCCCAACTGGTGGGTCGGGTCCACTCTGAATGGACCACAAGTGACTTGTAAACATGTCAAGTTCTTTAAAAACACACTTTATTTTAAAGTACAGTGAAATTCCAGCACAAAGATTTTACATTGAAGTGTCGTTTCCTGCTGTAGAGTGAGTGACTGACAACTGGACACTGGACAGCTACTTGACAGAGACAGCAAACTAGCTCAACGACATGGCCAAACGCTTGTATGACTGTCCTGTGGCTGCACCAGTTGGGAACCACTAGACAAGATTAATTGCCTTGTTTACTCATTGTAAAACTCACTGAATTCAAACTGGACATAAACAAAATGAAACTCGCACACATCATCTTGGTTGGTCTTTCCATTGTTTCAATGATCACTAACTCTGGTTTGGTTGAAATAAACCCTCATTTCACGAAGTTAGATGTGACTATTTCCTGGCTCTAGATGCTGTTCAATTGCCCAACCTTATTGACAAGCCCTCGGGGCAGCTCTACTTCTTTATCCTCTGCTGTTAGACTGAGGGCAGACTGGACACGATGGTGACTCACCATCGCCTCTCGAGGTGGTCTTACAAGACAGGACGGACCGGGGCTAGCTGGAAAGCATGCTCATTTCAGTAGATATCTCTGCCAACAGTATATAAACATCTCTAACATAATGTCAAAACTGTTACTTCTTCACATTCTGTTAATGTTGTTGAATGTTTTAAACTAAATTTCTGGCCATATCTTACACATTGCACCTTTTAAAAGACACAACAACTCTGAAAAGACATTCTATCCTGTTTTTGGGAGAGGAGAGTAAATCACTTCATGCTCTAATAATGCTACTACAGCAAAAGCTATCCGCTAACTGCTATTAGCATTCAGATAAAAAAATGATAGGTGAAGAATAAACCATAATAATGTCACATACCTCTCTTTAAAGCGAAGAAATGGTCACAGAAATGAAATGTTTGTAATTTTGTTCAGTTTGAGGCCCCTTAAAGCTAAACCCCATTAAATCAGCCTGTTTTTATATATTTACAGGAAACTGGTCTTTTAAAAAATATGTTATTTTACTCGCCTGTTACTTGTTTCTTTGGGGGTGTTATTTGCTATAACAGCTACATTTAATACTCTACCAGCACATGACGACCAAAAGTGTATATGCTGTTTATGCACAGTAATACTGTACATACTGAAATCGAATTCAAAAACCTAGACTCTTAAAGGAAGCGTCCTCCCTGTTACACCATACATTCTCGAAGTGTGTAGCCTATCATCATATATTTTGATGAGTCATACTGATGTATGAAAATACACTTTTTCATCTTTTTTTAACATAATGTGATGGGTTTTTTTCTTTAGAGATATACTGTATGTACAGACAGATTTGCTTTCTGTCCCATTAACCTTTCTGTCTGTGTGTTCTCAGGTGGGGAACTACAAACGTGCTGTCAAGAGATTTGATGACGGCCACCGGCTCTGCAATGACCTCATGGGCTGCCTGCAGGAACGTGCCAAGATAGAGAAAGCGTATGGTGATCAGCTAACTGCCTGGTCCAAGAGATGGAGACAGCTCATTGAGAAAGGTCAGCACGCTGGAGAGGGTCAATAAAATAAATAGCTCAACAAATGAACGTACTTAACGCTGTTTTTCAATTTCACACAGCATGTACAGAGTTTGCTGTTTGCTCTCTGGTAATATTTGGCTGCGTGTTATTGCACTGAATATTTTATATGGAGTTAATAATTTTGTCCGACCCCTCAGGCCCACAGTACGGCTCAGTGGAGAGAGCCTGGCTGGCTGTGATGACTGAGGCAGAGAAGGTGAGCGAGCTGCACCAAGATGTGAAGAACAACCTGATGAACGAAGACGTAGAGAAAGTGAAGAACTGGCAGAAGGAAGCCTACCACAAGCAGATGATCGGAGGCTTCAAAGAGGCGAAGGAGGCGGAGGAAGGCTTTAAGAAGGCGCAGAAACCGTGGGCTAAAAAGCTCAAGGAGGTGAGGGGGATGGAAGCAAATTTATATGAGTCACCGTCTTTGTCCTTGATGTGACAGAACAAGTTGTGTTCACTTCATGAATCATGTGAGACATGAATTGGGTTGCTGTATGGTTCGCACTTGTGCTTAAGATGTTGATTTGTCTCCAGCTGTGTCACAGCAACATTCATTCCTGTATGAGTCTCCATTATTTTAAACTTGACATCCTGATAAAAACAAAATACAGTAGGGAAAAATGCAAAACACAAAGTAACACCTGGGGCCACATGCATAAAACTGTGTGTACGGACAAAGACAAAAATGTGCATACAGCTCTTTTCGTCACATTTATGAAGATGCACGTACGCATGTTTCCTGTTTTATAAATCTCAGTCATTGTAGAGCTGGGCGCACATGCACAAGCCTCATTTCCACATCCACAGTTTGCCAAACATGGATGTTCACTGATGGTGTTACATTGGTGAGGTTCTCCACCGGTGCCAGAGCAGCTGTCATTACACACAACTGTGGATATTTGTGGTTTCCACGCCACTAATTCATCATGTTTAGCAAACCATCATCACTGCAAAGCCCGTTTCCACCAAACACTGGTACCTTTGGAACCAAAAGTAACTCTTCGGAAATGGTACCTAGACCCTAGCATTTCCTCTGCAAACAGTATTCTTAAATGTGGACGGGGTTGTTGTCACTTACTGCTCCGTCCAGCACTCACTGTATTTCCTCCTCCATCAGTCTGCACCTCGTTCATTATACAGAACAAGGCTGCACGCCAGAATTTTCAGAACAAAATAGAACAGGCTGCAGTGAGAGTCTCTCTCCATGAGGTATTGCAGATTTGTGCATTTAGTCCTTTTCAGGCAAGCTCAGGGGATTAGTGTTGCTGAAGCCCACAGGAACGACGCTCCACAGGGCTTTTTTTTTGTTTCTGCAAGTGAGGATTAGAATAAATGCAGCCCTGGTTGAAATTAATATATATAAACGCTTCAAGATCCACTCATTACTAAAAGTGTCTGTCATGTAAAAACTAAAGTGATGGTCAGAGTTGTTAAAGTGAAATTTAAGGTGTGTTGATGGATTCACGTCGTCAGCTCATGCATTAATCAACATTACAAGTTAACGTTCCACCTTAAAAGTTGCCGGCAGTCGGCCCAGTGAAATAAGTTTTTTTTTTTTCTCCGACTCCAGCTGCTGAGAGAGGCAACAAAACATCCTTTCATTTTATACTTACAGTTTACTAATAACACTCTCCACGGTATGAACAGTGGTTACATGAGCCTCAAAACCAGCCACAACTCAGCCCTGAGCAGAGTGACCGTCCTCTACTGACCAATCAACAGACTGCAGTGTTCACAGCTCCACCTTTTAGTATCAGATCTGTGTGCTAGGTACCCCAACAGAGGGGTGACCAAAAATGGGGAAGGTACGGGACGGTTCCATTGGTACCATCCACAACTTTTCACAGTGGAAACGGAAAAAAAGCGCACTGTACTGAACTGAACTGCTCAGTGGAAACGGGGCTCTGTGATCTCAATCATTATTACTTTAGTTGTCAGAAGAATAATCAATGATTCATTCAATGTGCTCATGTTGAAACTTAGTTTCCAAAGTGCTTCACAATTCAGGATCTAATTAAACAATTATTAAGAGTGAGATCATGGCTTAAATGTAAATTAAAAGAATGATAAATTAGAGCTTTGGACAGAACTATGTCAAATAAGTTTGTCTGCCACAGTTAATGCTAGATACAGACTGATCCATTATAACTGTCTACACCAACTCTATATTACGCCACAGATATTGCATAAATATAAACCTGATTCATTAGACAGATGTTTTAGATGTGGTATAGAGGAGGGCTCTTGGATTTACTTTTCCATTAGACGCACAACTCTGCCTTCTTGGGAACGTAACAACCATTAGTGCTTCTTTACAGAACTTCCAAAAGAGGTTTTTGTAAATAGCTTTGCGCATTACCAGGAAGTGCACAGCAGATGGTTTTTGGAATTAATATTCCAATTGAAAAGAGCATGTATAGTCCAAGAAACGAATATGGCACCTTTCTAGAATTTGGAAGCTCTGCTTGACGTATATTGATACTCTACCAACAACTCTGTCAGATTTGTTACCAGACTGATGCGCCATTAGTCCTCTGATTAGGCCAGGATTATTGATATTGCTTCTTACTTAATGTTTTATTTATTTATTTTATTTCAGATGTTCTGATTATATACTTATTTGTATTATCAATTTGTTTTTGATTATAACCTACTCCTTTTGAGTTAGGTTTGTATGTTGTAAATATTTAAAATTAATTGTAATAATTAAATTTAAAATCACATGAAGTCCCCTGGCCACACAAGTTATATAAATAGGGTTTAAGTTTGAATTTCTGAATTTAAGCATATATCTGAGCAGCACAGAGGCAGACTGAACTAATGATTTCATCTAGAGGCAAATCCTGGAGCTTCTCCATGACACCGTCTGTGGCTGTACCCATGGTGGTTTCACTGGCACCTCTCCCGATCTACAGCTCTGAGAGCTATGTTAAAATCCAATCCTTTGTACGTGATATTTCAAACAAAAACTCTACGAGGCAACAGAGCCAGACACTAATTAATTGTCAGTGAACCAAGTCTTGATTTTCAGTGTAGGGAGACACTGTGTAGATACAAACTTTACTGCCTGAAACTGTTGATGCAGCACCTTGTTGAAAGTGGAATCTTCCCTGTATTTTACCCTTTTGAGGAGCTGTTTGAGTCCGTTGCTTTGGGGCTGGACCTGTATGATTTGAGTGGACTGAGACTCTATTAGACCCACGTCTGACTGGGACATTTGTTTCCTCACTAGTGCAGTGATATACTAGAAACAAAGTCTAACTGAAGCGAGTAGAAACAGTGTTTTTACTGCTCTAACTTTGAGGTTTTACCCTTAATAGCAAAAAAAAGGCATCTTTATGATCTTTATGCAGTTATAAATACTGATCACATTTCAATCTGGTATCGTGTCTGGACAGAGTCATTCCTCCTTTGAGATGAGCTGATGCGACAAATTAGATCGTGTATGTGAAACACTGACAATTCCTGTGTTCGTCCATCCAGATGGAGGCAGCTAAGAAATCGTACCACATGGCCTGCAAGGAGGAGAAGCTGGCTGCAGCCCGAGAGGCCAACGGCAAGACTGAGGCTTCTGTCACAGCAGACCAGCAGAAGAAACTCCATGAGAAGACGGACAAATGCAAGCAGGATGTGCAGAAGGTGAGAACGAGGCTGTGGAACTACTTGAAGAGATGAAAGTCTTTAAGTTTAGTTAGAGACGTCTGAAACATTAGAGCCCCAGTAACCACCAGTTAGTTTGTTGCTAAATCAGCTGCTATAATTAATAAGACAGTTATTACTTGTGGCATCAGTGCAGCCTGTGGTGTAGGCAGTTTGGGCAAATGCTAAGGGGGCTGTCATCCATCAGGGGCACCACAAATGAGGAAGAAAAAAAATGTTTATCTCTAACATTTTTTAGTAATGTTATTACTAATTTGAAGTATTACATGAGGCCACAACATAACTACATAGCAAAGCCTACTAAATAATAGAGAAGCCCTCTCTCCAGCTCCTTACGCTTTACCTGCTCTCTGGGGGAGATGGGCGAGTAATCTGACGTCACGTTGAACCCTGAAACACGCTGTATCATTATCATGTCAAATCGACAAAAGCTCTCTGGTGCCCACTCAACCACCACTACACTACTGAGAGGAGTGGATGTGGAGAGAAAGAAACTGAAATTGGCAGGAGGAGAGTTATGTGACGTTACCTTTAAGCAGCCCATGGCCACAATGAACAGCTCACTGAGGTTGCATTGATTTGCATTGTGAAGCTTTCAAGCTCTGTTCAGTAAAAGTCAGTATTGGATGAGGGTAAACTATAATATTCTCATGATGTGTTCAATGTAATCTTGTAAAATGTAGGGTTTTTTTGAGAGAAACTTGAATAAATCAGCTGTTTGAAGGAGAAATGTGTTGATGCTTTCACAGCACTATAAAGTAGATATTAGAGAGGGAATTATGGTGTAGCATATGTAGTTAAAAGGCTTTTTGGTTATTTTTTAAGCTCTTTTCAGGTGAAAGAAAGTTATGTTAGAGGTTGTTTCATACATGTGTATTATTGAATTTGCGTCATTTAAAACTAGTGTAATGAAGGACTAAATGACTTTAAAACTGTTTATTTCTGTATGTTGATTTGTATATATTTTTGTATGGAATTATAGATTTATATTGTTAGTTAGGTTGTTTATTTGCATTTTGGTAATACATATGAGGGGGAGGCTCACCTAGGACACCAAATATGCTAGGACCAGCATTGTGTGGCATCTAGTTTGGATGAAAAATCATAGCTAAGGCAAATGGCCATAAAAAAGAGTTCCACTGTTGTTGTTATGGTACACAGTAGCTTGATGGCTGAAATGAGCCACTTGGTATTACAGCACATGGTAGTAAGCTGGGTCGATATTGAAATATAACATCAATAAATTAGGTTTCTGCTGGATTACTGTGTTGCACAGTGGCAGCAATTACTGAAAAAATGCTGCTGTTTTACCATTAGTGAGTTTAATTCTGTGGCATTTTATGATTTACCCCGACCCCTGGGGTCTACTACAACTATTTAGTTATTAGAGTTATGTTGTAACTGATCTCTGTGGTGCAACTGCTTTTATTTTAGCAATGCATAAATCACAACTCAGTAATAATTTACAGTATAGCAAGGCTAAGTTTGAGCTTACACACAGCTGGTGCAACAGGCTGCAGATTTTTAATTTTACAACATTGCCACAGAGCCATGGTAAACAGTTTCTTTTCCACTGAAGCTTCAGTGAACAGTGTGTTGTGTGTTTTTGTGTCTCAGGCTAAAGAGAAGTATGAGAAGTCTCTGGAGGAGCTGAATAAGTGCACCCCGCAGTACATGGAGTGCATGGAGCAGGTGTTTGACCAGTGCCAGCAGCATGAAGTCAAGAGGCTGACCTTCCTCAAGGAGGCCCTGCTGGACATCAAACGCCATCTTAACCTCACCGAGAACCAAAGGTCAGCCGGGCGGAAGGAGGCGGTTTTATTAAGGTTTCATAGAGCTGCAGGTTAAAGAAGCTCTGACTGTGTTTTCTCTCACATATGATTTAGTAAAATACTGTGTCAGAGGTAAAAACCACAAAAACAGTTTTTCCTCATGTGATTTTATATTTGTTTTAAAGTCACAGTGGTATTGAATGCAACATGGGTAAAGAACTCTGAGCATTGAACATTATTTTTTAAAACAGATTAGTTTGATTTGTTGTGTCACATTCAGCACAGTTCTCCTCAAATTGATTAATCTCAACACACATCTCAACCAGGCATGCACTTCTCATTAGCGTTCAGACTCACCGCACTAATTAATTGATTATTCAGTCAATGACATTTCTGCCAAACTGAATTTTGTTCACTGTGAGCGCTTGTCATATTCTGGGCTGTTTTTAACCAGCGTGGAACAACAAAGCTGGGACCCACAGCAAAGTGGTTTTCAGGGTCTTTAACCAAGCCGGCCTCTGGTTACCATCAATGATTCAAGGCCTTTGCTGTTGAGAGGATTGTGGTGTGGTTCATCCTGACTGGTGTCATCACTCATGTTGGTGTGTCCTGTCCTTTACTATTCACAACCTCACCTGTGTCGCCCCTAACAGCTGTGTTTTTGTGAAGAAAATGGGGCTGCACGGTATAACAAAAGAAATCATACTGCGCTATTTTTACAGACATTGTGACTGCAATATGAGTCATGCATATAGTGATAATTTTTGCATTTAATTTTAACTGGGGTTGAACCAAATACTCAGATTAAACAAGTATCCAATACAGGTAATTAACTTTATATCAATACAAGTATTATATGAATAACATTTGTCAATATCTGTACTCGTGATAAAGGAACAGTCCTCATCAGGGTAACTGTGTTTCATCTCTTACTCTTAGAATAAAAAAGACCTGGGTGCAGCTGCACAAAACACCATTACTTATCTCCTTAAGTATGACACTTAAGGCTTCATTTCTCCTTAGCTGAGGGACTTGTACAGTTGCACAGAATTCCTTAAAAGGTTTCCTATGTTAAGGAAAAAGTCATTCACTGTGTTGAAAGAGATTTTACAGCGGTAAAAGTTTCCATGGAGATTGTTTGTTGCTTGGACTCACGCTTGTGGCGCCTGTTATCGTCTCACACAGTTGGCCTTTAGTTAGTGAAAAATGGCAGAAGAGAAGAAGACAAGAAAACCATATTGGTCTGAGGAGGAAAAGAATAAACTTCTGGAGGAATACAATCATAGAAATCTCATACTACAAAGTAAATTTGATCCCCAAAGACCAGAAAAAAGAAAACAACTGTAGGAAGAAGCAACGAAAATTCATCCAATCAAATCTATAGTGTAACATCAAAAGCGTATCCAATGGGTTCTCCTGGTCACAGAACACTCTTCTCTGGGTGTGTTAGTTTTTTTCATTCATCACCATTAACTCAGTCATGTTGCAGTTAAGATAGAGTCAGAGTTGCCATAAGCTTTTGTTTTACCTTGCTGAAGGTACTTTGTGCAACAGGCTAGGGCTCCTTTAAGTAAAAGACCAAGACAAGGAGAAAACCATAAATATTTAAGTGAACATTTTAAGGAAACCTTAAGGAAAACACTTGCGGAACAGATTTTATTTTGAGGAAACCTTAACTAGGACTAGAAATCTTAACTTGAGGTGTTTTGTACAAACATTTAACTCATATTTATCAACACAAACGCAGATAGAAGGGATGCTCTATTTATATGAACCTATTGTTTTTTACAGTGCAGCAGTGACTGATACTAGAAATTACTGCCAAGGTTTACTTAGACAAATATAGCATAGCAGACATTTTCTGTGAATGAATATTATTTTCTACAGCTATAATGACTCATATCAAGGGCAATACGTTTCATTTTAACAATATCTTGAGCATCAAACCCTTCATTTCCTTCATTCTCGTGTTTTTTTCATGCACTAAATTGTGCTTTTTTTGCATCAACTTATGGCAGAAATGTCTTTATTTATGTAAAGGAAAGGAAAACATAAAATTCAGTTGCCTGGCATCAATTCAAAATATAAAAATGTGAAGGAATATAATACAGTAAGGTTCTCAGTCATTTTGTATGGCTTTCAAATATTTATTTTCCTATAGATCACCTATTAGTCATCACACATGTGGGCAAGATTGACTCTTTAGGCCCCCCAGTGTACTGTATACTAGACTTAAAGCCTAGACCAGGGGTCAGTAACCTTTACTACCAGAGGAGCCTTTTTTGGTTAAAAAAAAAAAAATCTGTCTGAAGCCCCTGAATATATTTAACCCTTATAAAAAAGCGTTATTGAGTCTAAATTAGCTTATCCACATGACTAATAGGTCTAATATGTTAACCACCAGGTGGCTAGTCTGCAGTTACGTTTTTATGAATATTTGGTTCCTTGCAGCGAAAGCAAATAAATCTGTCTATGCACTGTTAAATTCAATATTTTCCTCCAAGACTTTTCATCTCTGGAATTGGAATCCACGGTTAGCTTCACTAAGGAGACTCAAGACAAGTCACCACTCTTGATGTTCTAAAGAAGAGACACCAGGCTGTAGACATCACTATAACTCACATTTTAGTTGATGAAATGTTAAAACATTTTTTTAAATTTGGTGTAGGCCTCTTTTTACAACTGGATAATGTAAGAATCCCTGTAGACCTACAACAGTGATAAATAATAAATTAAAATGTGCAAAAATAACTGACTCATTTCCATGTAGCCTAAATTTTTGGTCAAAGCAATAGGGAGCCACTGCAGAGGGGCTAAAGAACCGCCCACTGAAAATAAAAACACACACTAACACTCTGCAACTGCCTTGTTTCATGAGCTGAAGTCATTATCATGAAAGCCAGAAGGATTATTATCACTGTGTATTTTCTGGATTCAGTAAGATCATGATCATAAACCTGCAGAGAGCCATTTGCTCCACTGATAGACATTACCGAATATTATCGCCTTTTACAAAGAGCATGTCCTCATCTTTCCAAAATCTAGCTATAAAATGTAAATGCTCTGCTTTTAAAATGTGCTGTTGCTCATCTCTGCGATCCAAAACAGCACCCATTCTTGTAATGTGCCAGCTTAGATGATGTTAGATGGTCTGTTTATGCCCAGATTTTATGGAGATTGTGTGTAGATAAATGTTTGGTTTATCCTGTAAATTAGGTGGTAACTCTACGAGGGGAATCTGCCCTTTCTAATCTCTAACACATTGCAGAGATTTGGTGAAACTGTGGCACCGTAAACAAGACTGCCCTTGTAAAGGATTATTAGGATTATTCAGGCCAAACACTTCAGCTGTTGAGGGCTTCAGCTTCAGCCGAAAACTCAGGGAGACACTGAAGGCTCATCATGACCCAACATTGGATCTCTCTCAACCCAGAATTTGAACTGCACTGTGGCTTGTGTCGCCAAGTTGGCAGCACCCCCGGGTCTCTTCTGGCACTTTCCAGCGTCACCATTTGTTCCCTTTTCCTCTCCGCAGCTATGCCACAATATACAGAGAACTGGAGCGCACGATCCTCGGTGCGAACACACAAGAGGACCTGAAGTGGTTCAGCAACAACCACGGCCCGGGGATGCATATGAACTGGCCTGCGTTTGAGGTACAGCGTCAAACCTTTAAGCAGCAGACACATCTCGACCTCATTTACTGCTCTTCTTTATTCTGCTTTCACGTGTTTCCTGTCACTCTCATCTCCAGGAATACAACCCAGACCAGGCCAGCGCTCCTCCAAAGAAGAAGAAGCCAGACGGAGCCCCACCCACCCCGAGCACTGACCATGTGGCTCCACCTGGTGACCGTAGCAGGTTAGTAATCACACTCTATTTAATCAGTCTGAATACTTATGTTTTTTAAAAAGGCTAAATCATTTCCTGAAACAGATTAGCACCTTAGTTTTTGAAACTAGCAGATTAGCACCTTAGTTTTGTTGTTACTCAGACAACAATGAAATAGTGAATTTATTGGGGACTATTTCCAGCTGCAGATTTCATGTTAGTATTTACAGCAGCTGGATGGCGTGTGTTGGATCAGCTCTAATTAAACCACACTGCTCATCTTTATCATAATTTTAAGAGCATGTCCTCCAGTGCAACAGTGAGTGTTACTGATGTCTTTTTAATAGTTTTCAACAGTTAAGATCTGCGGCACCAGGCACGGCGCCAGGATTTCAGTTTTGGCTGCGCTGTTTAACCACAGAAGTTACTGTTTGTCTTCCTCTGACAGTTTCAAACTGGTGGACTCACTAAAACAGAAATGACTGATACCACGCTGTGGAAGGCGACTGGCGCGTCTGGTTGATTTTGACACTTTTTAAATCTTTTTCTAAAACATTTTCAATGCCAGATAGTTTATTATTTCCCCGAGACAGTTTGTGTTTATTACAAGCGGCACACACGGGTATACTGCTCAGATCATGTGAAAATGAAACGTAGTAGATTTTTGCTGTGGGGTGTGTAAACCAGTATATTATTTTATTCAGAACACTGACATTTTAGTTATTTTTTAAAATGTATTTATTAAGGAAACACCATGTTTTTTTGTATGATTTGGCCTGATTTTTATTTATTTATTTATTTTTTTGTCAGACAAATAAGGTTTCATTTCAACATTAAGCGGGATGATTTTAAACGTCCAACATTTTCCTACATTCCTACATTGTTTTTCCTACTTTCTGATGAATTTTTATGCACTACTTTGTGCCTTTTTACATCAGTTAATGTTGGAAATGTTTTTATTTATGTAAAGGAAAAAAGGGACAATTCAAAATATAATGGAACATAATGCAGTAAGGCTCTCAGTCATTCTGTATTGCTGTCAAATATTCCTCCTCTTGTAGATCAATTTTTCACTTTTAATGTTATATCTGTTCAGTCAACACACATGTAGGCAGCATGATTTACTCTTCAGTCCAGTGTGTGGTTGTTTGTCATGGCATAACTAATATTTTTCATTATTTATACCTTTATCTACATATTAAGGGGACATTTTGAGCATATTTGAATATTGGGGAAGATGAATATATAGTATTAAAACTAAAAGCTGAGAAAATATATGTTCTCCCAGTCATTATGACGGGCCAGTTCTATAAGTGGGTGGGAGAACACTGCACCCATGTGGCACAGAATAATAAGCTACAGTGACAGTATTCATTAGTAGCACCAACTTATCATTGGTTTTGACCTTTTAATGGGATTTGGTGATAATTATAAAGACTTTAGTTTTGTTTTGTTTTTTTTGAACAGAAAATCCCGCACACAGCTCTTGTTCATCTTCACAATTTATTAGTAACACTAACATTTCAGTCCTCCTGGACCTTCGTCAAGAGTGTTCAACACCAGTATTTGAAGAAATACTACTAAAGAAATACTGCAAAAGTATCTCCCAAAGGATTAAATGATTAAATACCATAGCATGTCGTGCTATAATGGATTTGGGGATCTCAAAGACCAATTTATGATTCATGGCATAAGAGTATACAATGTTGAACTTTTTTAATGATTTATGAAAGCTGCAAGACCGATGTGTTCATTCATAAGATCAACATGTTTTGATAATAATCTTGAAAATAGCCTTTATTGTGGAAGGAGATGTGTGTTCTAGATTTTTCCTATGTTTTTCTTGTTCCCTTGTTCTTTCCTTTGTGTGCTATGTAACATCTGGTACTCAGGCTGTTGTCAATTATTGAGAGAGACACCCACAGCTGATTAATTCCCCAAACACCTGTGCACACCTGTGAAATGGGTGGGGCAGTTTCTATTTAAGCTCAGTGTTGGAAATATTGGTGTTGAACGCTCTTGGCGAAGGTCCAGGAGGACCGAAACAAAAGCAAGAGCAGTCTGCAGGATTTTCTGTTCAAAGACTCAAGTGATATTTTCCAGCGCACCTGCATCTGACACAGTTGGATGTGTGAATACCTTTCTTAACATTAAATCTCACCATGCATTTTCTGTCTCCTCCAGTGTGAGCAGCTATGACAAAAACCAAGCTTACTCAACTGAGTGGTCCGATGACGAGCAGCCCGCTGCATACTCTGGCAACGAAAACGGTGGAAACGGAAATTCTTTCGAAGATGATTCTAGCACTTCTGGGAGAGGGGTCCGCGTCCGCGCTCTCTATGACTATGAAGGCCAGGAACAAGATGAGCTCACCTTCAAAGCAGGTAATTATCAGTGACCAGGTGACACAGGAGATTGATTTTGTCTGCTGTCATGCAGCTCATGTTTACTTAATGATGTATAAACGGGGCCTGTGACACTGTAGGCTGAGGTTTATGATGACATGGCCGAGCTGTCGCATCACACAGGTGGTCAGAAATCACCAGCTCTGTCCTGGTTTCTTTTCTAAAGCACCCTTCCCTTGTTAGAAGATAGCAGGGATTAGTCAATAATGACCATTTGGAAAACAAATTACAGGCACTAGCCACCAATTAACACCAGCTCTTTGGGAAACAGTGTGGAAAACGTGCATTGGAGCCCTAAAAAAAGATGTGACTAAGGATTTAAAGACGAGCTCTGCATGGAGAAATAACCATTGGAGAAGCTTCAGCTGTGCATCTCCATCTTGATTCCCATGCTGTCCTATTTTTAACCACGCAGTTTGAGATGAGGTGTTTTTTAATCATCTTAGGGATACGTGCCAATGACTGCAGGGAGTCTTTGAAGACATCTTATACCTGCACGCAAATTCTCTTCTTTGTTCTTGCTTGGAAAACATGAAAGGTGCCCTGTGGACTTTTCTTGTAAATAAACAAAGTCTCTATTTGCATTCAGTGTTTCTGACACTAGTTCATTTGTATCCTTGAGGTCGAACTTAAATATTGAATGCACTTCTTTCCTCAGAAATCATTTGCAAAGACGATTTTTTTAAATACCTGAGTAGTTTACATTTATGTTGAATTACAAGTCTTCTTTGCGTTTTGTCAGCATATTGCTGCTTTTCATCAGTGAAATTGTATGGAACCACTGGCAGGAATTATGTTGCGTCACACATGTGCTCGTACTACATGTGTGCTCTCCTGTGCATGTGAACAAACAAAACAGGGCCCCACTCCTAAAGACATCTTCCCACAGTGTTGACGGTCTAAAGCTCCACAGGGTACCTTTAATTTACATTGCCTTTACTGTGGGTCAGACCAGCTTAGTAAAGCCTAATGAAATTAATTTAATTGAAATTCAATGGCTGCAGTTTCCACAGAAGACACTGAGGTCGTGTCCTCTGGGAATTAGGGGTTGTATAAACTTGGAGGAGTTACATTTTCTAGACTGTTTAGCTTGAATTGCATTGCTAGGCAACAGCTTGGGTCGATGTTTACTTCCTGTCAGCTGATGTAATTCACAAACACTGCAAAAAACTTCCAACTGGAAAAACAAAAAGGACTCATTAGGAATATTTATGTTGTCAAGTTTTAAATAGTCTATAATTAAAAACACTAAGTGGATATATTCCAGACTGATTCCAGTATATTCCAGAATTAGAGTAACACATTACAAGGTTAACAGCCCAACCCAGTGATGTCACTGTTGACCGTCAGCTGCACTCATCAGTGATGCTGGGTGTGAAATAGAGGTGTGTCATATCATCTCGTTCACGATAATGCCGCTGTCATTTTTAATATGATGAGAAAGATTCAAATCGTGATCCTCGGGATATTTCGACTTGTTGACATATTGACGTCATACTGTTACCCATGGCAACAACAAGCATGGCTGAAAGCAAAATTATTACAGACTCTGCAGTGGTTCCAAAAAGAGGAGCAGCTTCAGTGGTGTGGAATAAACTGTGGCGTCCTGAATGTTTCATGAACAGTTTCATGAACTTCTCAGACTCTTTTAGTGACTTACCGCTCAGAGGGAACTCATTCAGCGGCTCCTCTGGCAGCAGCACAGTGTCTCTCCCTCTCCTCTCTCGCCGAGGAGTCAGTGTTGTCAAGTGATTTTAGCTGCGTTCAGAGGGCTCGGAGGTTTCCAAAGACCTGACATGAAAAGCCTGGAAAAGCCCCTACTGCTGGAAAAAGCGCGTTCATCGCCTCACGTCGGACCTTAGTTGTAAACAAACATGCATGCCCGCAAGAAGATTTTCGCTCTCCTGTGTTTTGTTCAATGATAACGCATAAATCTGTAGCCCAGTGGAGCTGGGCTGATGTTGTTAGCCTTTTTGGCTAAATGAAGAGGTCAAAGACATTTTGCTAATGTATGGTGTTGGCAACGTTACTAATTCTACGTATAATTATGCACGGAATGTTCAAATTACATGTAGCAGTGGAGAATTTGCTTAAAGACGTCTTTGAGATGCATTTTTTTTACCTAAGAAAAATTATTTGACTCACCGGTGGCAAAGGGGGCCGCCATTGCTGTAACATCATGCCACGTGAACTCGGGGTCCTCAGGTTGCTACACTTCTGCACAACGTTCCAAGCAAAAAATTCCGCTCCGTCCACGTGTTCATAGCACTTTCCCCCTCGGAACCTCCGACCTTATGAACGCCGCGTTTGTCATTAACCTTCGGTGATGCAAACCTGCATGACACTCGCAGCTCGACAAAAATCTACATATATGTGAGTGTGCGATAGGAGGAATGGCAGAATAATGGACAGAATTATTCCTATAGAGATGCTGGTTAATCAATTTATTTATGGTAACCACATAGTCTGCTTATAGTGTTCATTTTGGATGTTTTTTTTAACTTTACTCCAATGATATTTTGTATCATGGTAACCCGTTTGTTTCTGGCTGGCTACTTGAGGCTGGTGCTGGGTTCACATTTAAAACTGACAGGAAAAAGATGGTAATTTTCCCTCAATGACAAAAAAAACATAGTCTCCTCTACACTTATGACAAACAGCCAAACATGAGCCAATGAGATGCAGCAGTGATACTTGGTGTTCCTCCATTCAGACAATGAGAAACAGTCTCGGCTGCCAGAAAACAAATACACACAGGGAAAACATCTGTTGTTGAAGACGCCCTTGTCAGATGGATTGATAATGCCTGGTCACATAATGCACCTGAGTACGTTATATTCATGTAATACGTACATAAATGTCAATTTGATGGTAATCTGTATCAGAAATAAAGAAATAGAACCATGGTCTCATAGTGATCAATTTGACCCAGACAGATGTGATCTCTATAAGAGGTTTGCACATATTTGTCTGGTCAAATTTTACTGGGAGCGGGAGAGACTTTGACTCATGACCTCTGTACAAGAACAAGAACAGACAGTACAGAGCGGTGTTCCCAGATATCCTCATTTCAGATTAACGTTCTTGACGCAGGACTAAGGAGTGCTGTCTCCTTCACAGGTGATGAACTGACCAAGACTGAGGACGAAGACGAGCAAGGCTGGTGTAGAGGTCGTTTGGACAACGGCCGAGAGGGACTGTACCCGGCCAATTATGTCGAGCCAATCTAGTCACGCTACTGGACAAGGACACGCCATTGGAGGCAGCCTGAACTGTCCCGTCCAATTGCACCGCACATAGCCAGAGACTTAAGAGCAACACATCCCTTGCCCAACAGATGCGCCAAGCAGTCTTGCCTAAATAAAAACTTAGTAACCTAAAAAGACGATATATCAGTATAATATATTTTATCCAGCATTTGGGGTGGGTGGACTTACACATTTAAAAACAGGAGCAGCAGTTATTCCAGTATATACACACTCGACTATAACATCAAGACAGTGCAGGAACACATTGCTTCTCTGTGTAGCTGTATTTAAAGTATAATGCAGCTTATTTAAACTTGCAGTCCACTGCAGTCTGTTCTCTTGTGAAAATGGGAAGATAATATAATCAGTTACACCCATTCGACAAAGACGAGCTTCTCTAACCTGCATTGTGTATATACAGTGTGATGCCATTTTTGTGTAGCATTTCTAATGCTGTGTGTGGTCAGTCGTCATTCTTACATCTGGAATGCTGTGTAGTGTTAAAAGTACCACAAACAGTATCCTCTGATTTTTTTTTTTCTCTTTTTTTGTTTTTCTTTGTGATTTGGTCCGACCTCTTTTCCAGTGTGTGCAGTGCTATGTGTTTTAAACTGTTTCTGAACTTGCATAGCAGCATGCGCTATGCAAAATCTCACATTCCCTGAATCCTGCAGCCTCATTTAGGGCTACAACTCGATGCAGCACTTCAACTACAAATGCAGAGTTCACGTTTTAAGCATCACATCCTTCTGGACATGCTTCATGAAAGGAAGCGTGTTGATGATGAACTTGTTTTATGTTTGTTTGTTTTTGTTTTTGACATCTTTTTTTTCTGTTCTTAGCATCACAAATCCTTTGCCAGTATCATCTCCATGCAGTCCGAGGAAAAAGGATACACAGTTTTCTGCAGAAGCTTTCATTCTTGGTTCAGTATTTCAGGTCTCATATTAAATCCACTGCTAACAAACAAGAAACATGAGCGATACATTCCCTCAGAGCAAAGTCGGATCGAGTCATCTTCTCGAGGTCGCCACTGCAGTATGAGAGGTGGGTTCTGAACAATGCCTGTGCCGGGCACTTTTTTTCTTCCAGAGCGAGGGGCCAGTGGAGGCATGTTACTGTGCTTGTGTGAAGATCGAAGCCTCTTCAACAGGACATGAATGTACTAGTGTTTGGGCTTGAGAGAGGGCGTGTTGTCTAAACATGGCTCTCCGCTGTCATTTAAAGCCCTACCTAGCAAAAAGCACTAGTTATGCGGCCCGTTTCCCTGCTGAGCCAAAGAATGACCCAATACCATCAACTATCTGTTTTCTCTCCACGCAATAACTCTCACATATCACATGTGACACAGCTTCAGTGAGGATCAACTTGTAGCTGCCTCCCAGTCCACCCAAACTTCATTTGTCTGCAGAACACCGCGCAGCGACACAGGGAATACATTCGTCACCAGTGCTGCACTGCTCATAAGACGACTCTTACGCAGTGCGTTATTTTAAAATTGCTCCATAGAAATTAAATTCACAGCAGGAATCACATTCATCAGACGCTGATTAGTGAGTTATCTTAGCTACAAGTTGCACCTGAATCTCTGATTAGACGGGAGAGTTGCTTTTTATAACTTAGTTGTCCTGAAGTTTTGTAACTTTCAGCGGACCAACAGCAGTCAGATGTGTTTAGCTCTGTGTCTGGAAGTGGATACGACAGGTTTGGGTCTTACACATGAGGAGAAACACATCACCAGCTCACAAGTTGTGTCTTAGAGTAAAGCTGTCCAGCATAGCAAAAAGGACTCCTATCATTAAAACTGTCCCACATCCTCAATGATGCGCGTATGCACATACACACACATATATATACAAACACACACACACGCATTAAACACACGAAACACAAACACATAATCCACATTACCAGGTTAATATTTTGGGGGAAAACATTCTTCATCATCCAGTGTGTATGAGTTGTGTAAGTGTAACAGAAACAAAAATGTAAAAAAAATAAAAAATAAAAAAAAAATGCAAGTGATTGACTATTAAGACAAAATGTAGTGTTATACATGTAAATGTGATTCATTAAAATAACAGCAATGGAAAACATATTAAGTAATAGGTACCATATCGTATGAATTTCATTGCAATGGAATTGTCAGTGTATCATAAAAGCGTGACGTTATCCCACGCTGTCAGATTTGTATATGATGATGTAATTTAAAGATTATATTCTATTGTAACTGTACAACTGTGTTGAGTTGAACAACGAGACCTAACCATGTTGAGGCAGTAAAAAGGTGTATATGTAAATGCTTTTTTATGTTGATGATCTCTTCCTTATGCACACAGGGGACAGCAGCAGCTCATGTTGTGGAAACCCTATATTAGCGGTCTAGAAGATGTATGTTTATAGTTAGTGATGTACTTTTATCTCCTAACTGGTGTAGTGCCTGTTCATCTTGATGTAACAAGAAGTTCATTTAAATATGCATAAAGATGATTATGATCACAGATAATAATGACGATAGTGATGAAAAACCCGACTCAAATTTGTTGTGATGGTGTCAATATTGCGATATTGGTTTGAAAGGGGAAACAAGTTTGTTGAAAAAAAACAAGGTAGTGTCCGTGTGTTTTTTGTATGGACTGAAAGTCAGTGTTACTCTAAAATGTAATTTATTACTTATTACTTGTAACTCTTTTCAAAAGTAAAACTTGTTACTCCCTGCCAACAGTAATTCGTTACACTATTTGTTATATTACTTATCCATTACACCCCATAAAATTGGTAATCATCCTTTCACTAAGTCCCGCCCCTGGATGCAGACCAAGCATAATAGCATCAGCCCGGCTCAGATCAGGGTCCAACAACAACACAGCTGTGCTCCTTTTCCTTCATTTTCAGGCTGGTTTTGTGGATTTGGAGCTAAATGTTGTACCTGGAGCATGTCGTGTATTAATGATACTCGTTACCTGGAGAGGTTGGAAAAAGATATACGTTTCTTCCCTGTTCCAAAACCAAAATCAAACCCTGAAAAGTGTAGGGTTAGCTAGCTAGCTACTGAAGATATAGCCTACTGAATGTATACACATGCTGCTTTTGCTTTTTAATGATTATAACAGGAAAACAAAGACAGACATTGCTGTACAGGAACCAGTGAAGGGAAGCAGGGAAACTTTGCTCATATCCAACCATCTGTGTGTCATCGCAGTGTGTGCAGATGAACGTTGTTTGATCCCTGCCCGTCTGGTGGCAAAGGTCCAGGTGCTGGCAGCGACACAGGGGGCGAAGCCAAACACCGTTCATCTGCACACTGCGATGCCACACAGCTGGTTCAATATCAGCAAAGTTTCCCTTTATATTCATTGTCTTGTGTGTCGATCAGCAGTGATGTGGTGGTTCACTTTGACACTGTGATCTGTAGCCTATAGTTCAGCTTTAGCTTCTAACTATCTTTGTCTTTTTAACCTGTTGTTGCTGCTGAGTCAGTTTGACATCCTGGATATATCCTTCAAACACAAACTGTAGACCCCTCTGTCTGCTTCTCTCTGGAATCACTCTTTCATTTTCCAAAAAATATAATATTTCTTCAGGGAGTGCAGTTAGTTACAGTGTGGGCTCCACGCTTACTGTGACAGCTTGTCGGACCATCACAAAAGGGTGGGGCTTAGCGAAAGGTCAGTTGCGTATCTCCCCAAAATTCAGTTGTGTGCTTTATAGCTGCAGCTGTCCATGAGTAAAAATCCAGTTTTGGTTGTTTAGCCAATGTAGGGATACAGCCAACCTCCGCAGCCGAGGAGGGCACACCTTTGGTGGGGTGTATTTTGGAGTTTCACGTTGTTGTGCTGTCAATTGCAGTAGCCGGTGTTTCAGACCAGAGGTTTTAAGACGTGTTTTTTGCAGTGGCAAGAGTTTTAGTCGTGACTACCTGTAGCAACAGAGTTCTTGCCATCTTTCCTCTCGACACAATCAAACTGATGAGGATATTTCTAACTGCTGAGGTAAGAGTTTCCAACTACCTTGGTCTAACAAGGAGTTCATGCTTGGAACACAAGAGAAGATTCAGCTGGTCACAATCTGCATCCCTCACCACTCGATACCACTAAATCCTACACACTGCTCCTTTAAAACTTAATTATCAAACAATAATTTAGCACCCCCTCTGCAGTCACTCCGAAGACCCAGGTACAGCACTATACCTTGTTTCTGCAGTCTGGTCTCACTGCCAAGTAGTCAAATACCAACGCTTGGTAAGTGGTTCCCGTCGTCGGATACTGATGGACCAAGGCACCCCTCAGCGCCAGTATTAGATGCTCCGAGCAACCATCATCATATAAAGATAAAACACTGACGCTTGACTAGGCCCCCAGGAGCGCAGCTCAGCCTTGTTTCCAGTTTTCCCAGTGGCCACTTGTGGTATTGCACCAAAAAATCCCCAAAAGCATTGTCCACCATTGTTAAACTGTTGACAGGACACATCAGACAAGGTCAAATATGACTCTTTCTATTATGAATATTTGTTGGAGGTTGTATATTTGTAAAACTTTCCTCAAGCCAAGGAAAGCGATTTAAAAATCCATGACATCATCACCATGTAAAGTCTATTAGCTGAGCAGGAACTTGTGCACAAACCATGGAAGTAAACCGGAAGCAAGAAACATTTTTTGGGTGTATGTGCCATGTGAGTAGTCCCATTGGACTGAAAAGGCGCCATTTTGGTGTCCACTATGTAGTATTTATCAAAGCATTCATCTGTGTGCTGGAGGGGTACCTAGAGCATCACAGTTTGACGTGTAGGGCCACTGACCAATATGAACAGTTTACTTTAAAGGAGACAACATTTGGTAATATATTGCTTTATTCTGGATCCTGAACATAATCCCAAAGATAGAAATGTAAAAAGGATTATAAATCAAGGCAGATTCAATAAAATATTCACTTACTTTGGCATTGCTCTGCAACTTTTAAATATCGACACAAATAACAATAAGAAGTGTCATTGTTTAAAAAAAAGAGGAATTAAAAGAATAGTTTAACATTTTGGGGAATACTGCTTGTTCGCTTTTTTGTCGAGAGTTAAACGGGAAGTTTGATTTCATTCATGTTACTATGCTAGCTGGAGCCATCAGGCGGCCATCTTAGCTTAGCCTGAAGACTTGAAAGAGCGAGCTTAGCTCTCTCCAAAGATATTGAAACTCACCAACCAGCACCTTTTAAGCTTACTAGACAAACAAGGTAACGATATAAAGTGTTGAATACTGAGCTTGTTTTTAACCTTTGGACAGAGCCGGGCTAGCTGTTTCCTGTCTTCATGCTAAGCTAAGATGGCCGCCTGCTGGCTTCAGCAACATATTAATTATACAGATACAGAGTGATATCTTCTCATCTAACTCTCAACTGAGAAGCAAATAAGCATTATGTCCTTTAAATGTTTCCATAGTTCAAAAAAGAAATGTGTCTATTTGAGAAATCAAACAACACACCAAAAAATAAATTTCAAAGAAGAGTGCTAAAGGGACAAATAAAATAAAATCGAGCTTTAAGAAAAATTAAGTAGAGTGATATGATGATAGGCAGGAGTGCATAGTTTAGTAGGCAGTCTTTACAAATGAAATGAACCGTAAAGTACAACGAACAAGCCTCAGAGTTCATGTTACTTCTACTGTATGTCCAGCATATCTTCGGTTCCTCCTCAGCTTGTTCTCCTCGGATCAGCCGATCCTCGTCATCATACGGGGTTGACGAACTGGTAGACGAGTCTGCGTGACACATCGGGCTTTCGAATGATGCCTTTCTTGTAGTACTGGCGTATAGAGCGACTCAGTTTGTCATAGTTCATAGCCGGGCGGTTCTTCCTGATGCCCCATAGCCTGGCCACCAGAGCGGAGTCTTCTATTTTGAAAATCCCTGTGGACAAGAAAATAAACGTACTTAGTTTGGATTTTGATGTGAACAAGAGCCCCTGCATTTTGGGAAATGTGCTTTTTTGCTTTCTTGCCAACAGTTAGATAAGAAGATCGATACCACTCTCTCATGTCTATATGTTAAATTTGAAGCTACAGCCAGGAGACAGTTAGCTTAGCTTAGCACAAAGAGTGGAAACAGCTAGCCTGTCTCTATCCAGAGATAAGACATAAGACATTCTGCCTATCAGCCAGGGGTGGAGTCAGACTTTGTAAACATTCGGGGCTCAGCAAGTGGACATGCTGTCTGCGGCCATTTTGATTTGACTAGTGGACTTCACAGCCAGCGATTTGACCAGCTGAGTTGCAGGTGACACCATCAGCTAGCTTTAGTGAAGCTCAGACCGGCCAGTTCACACCGTTGAACCTTCCCTCTGCAGTGTTATGAAAAGGTTTCGTCTCATCGCAAACATTGGTCTGAACTGCACTTTACTCCCAACTCATCTAATTTTGTCCTGACACTTGGTCAGTGGCCCTCAAAGTCAAATACCGACGCACAGAGGCACTCTTTATTGGGTATGAGACGAACCAATGCTGGCATTTTTTAACGCTTCAAGCAACCACTGTAATATAGAGAGCAAGAAAATTATAGAGTGGATGCGTCAAACCAACTCTGGACTTTCACCCAGAAGCCTGCTGTTTGTGTCTCATGTGAAACCAAAGGTGAATCCAGTTATTTTAATAACAATGTAGCATGCTAGTATGTGTAGCATTCTACGCTAATGACATCAGTTTACATTATATTATGTTTGTAATAATTCTGGGCTACTTATTTTAAGCCAAACCGTGATGTTTTATCTCAAGGACGTAAACCTAAAACAATGGGGGTTTTTTGTAATCAATGTTCTAACTTTACTTTGAAAAGAGACTGTAGGCCATGTATTTAAGTGGGGAAACTGTAACCTTCCTGTGATGTTTACTTTGAAGCATAAAACTGACAGATTGTCCCCGAACATTCAAAACTGGCCAGTGACCTAGTGTCAGTATTTGACGAGTTGGGAGTGAGAATGTATTGGACACATTTTTTACATTTAAATCCATACCATAATAATCTGGGCTGCTCTAATTTCAAGTCAAGGATCCCCAGCAATGCCGAGTAATGTGGTCTGAGTCTAATGTGGACTGAGTCAGACTAGCTGTGTCCCACTACTTGCAGTCTTTATGCTAAGCTAAAGCTAACCAACTGCTACATGTAGCTCCAAATTTAGCCCACAGATGTCAGAGAGGTATCAATCTTCTAATCTAACTCTCAGTAAGAAAACACATATGTTCCCAGAGAGTTAGTAAGTGATGTTATGATTCTTTAAGTCCCCTTATTTAGCATTTATAATCAGTATATAAACATTTAATAACTGCGTTATAACAGAGTATGATGCAGTATCACCTTACCTTTCTCTTTGTTGAGCCAGCGGATGCAGCGGCTGTAGTTATGAGGCTTGAGGAGCAGCTCTCGGAGGAACTGCCACAGGTGGATGGGCTGGCTGGGGTAGTTATGCATCACATCTGACCAGGAATCATCATCAGCTGCTGACGTAGGAGAGACTGTCAGAAAAAATCTGTCACTTCACCTTGTTTCACCTCACCTTATTTTATTTAGTAGAACAACTGTTTTAGTCAGCTGTATAGAAATCAAGTTCCAAAAACCGAGAACTCACCAGATTTGCTGTCCTCCTCTGGCAGGCAGCACTCCTTCATTGCTGCAGCTAAACAAGCAGAACCAATCATGTAGCAGTTTACACCACACAGAATGCTTAAAGCCAAGTCTTGAATTGTCTCTTAGTCACACTGCATATGCTTCACAATCAGCCTTTTTTTCTCATTTGCATAACAGCAGAGTTGATGCAGGTTCATTTCCCCGTGTCACTGTTGTTCTTACCAGATCTCCAGATGTCCAGATGAGCATACAGCATGTCCCCAAACTGCGAGGAGCGCTGTCTGAAGTCTGCTTCTGTCATGGAGCACAGATCCCTCCCGCTCAGCTCCTGAAACATGGTGCTGACCTGCGTCAGCCTGTACAGGTGCTCGGTCCAGAGGAGCCACTTCTGAACGTGCATACAGCTCCAGTCCAGCGGGTCTGACGAGGAAAACACAGAAAGACCAGGCTTTTTATTTTATACACACGTTCAGACCTTAAATCATGACATTATTTCCACCATTGAAAACATGACAACATCAGTGCAAAGGATGTTTTCATTTTTATCATGGCATCCAGAGTTTGACCCATATTAGGGACTAAAATTCAGAATATATCTGCCTCTGTCGCTTCAGTTTTGGCCATTATGTCTTTTATTGTCAGGTGTGACTCACCTTATATTATTAAAGTGCAACACTAAATCTTTTTAGTCACTGTCAGGAATTTTAAAATGACTGCTTCAGCTGGTAAAGATGCTACATGAACAAGAAAAAAGTCTTAAACTGTCATTAAACTGAAGCTAAGATTAAAAGTATGCGATCAAAGGAACTGTGTGAAGATCAGTTAACCAAACCAGAACACAAAGACAAACTTTAAACTGCTGTTTAGAGAGTGAAGTTAGTGTTATGTCAATAGCGAGGACCACATGGCTTCTTCTTACTCGTCAAAGTCAGTTTAACAGTCCCAGAGAGCACTATTTAGCATGAGCAAACAGTTTGTGTTACTGCATTGTAAGCCACGGCTCTACTCAACTCAACTGCTTGTTTTGTGCTTTCCGTTGGCAAAAGTTATCAGTAGTACCTGGGTTTTTGGAGGTTTTTTTTGGGTACCACTTCAGTTGAGCTTCCAGATGAGCTGAGCAGACACTAGAAGGTGGCGTTAAAACACTGCAAACCACTAACCCGTCAGAGACAATCGTTACTTGTGCCACAGGGGGCATCCAGCACAAACCTACCATTTTCAAGTAGCCAAGCTAGCATCAATAGCAACCACAATCTTATATTCACTCAACCCAGAATTGAAAAAATGGCAGCCTGCTGTACACCAAGTGCAGACGTTCCTTTGGTTGCCAATGAAAGGATCCAAAGGGTATCATGTTGAAGATGATGTTACGGCAGTCTCACACTGCACATGGCAGTCAGCTGAGAATCCAACCGACACTGACAGCGTACTATCAAGCCGATTTGACATCGAGGTGAGACTATGGAATTACATAGGGTCTGTCGTATGATTCTATGGGGCCCAAAAAGACTTGTGAAACAGACTTCTGTACATCAGTGGATACCTTTTTTTTTTTGTTAAGCATCCCCAATAACTACGGAAGCATATTGCGTTCACCTGACAAATTAAAAAAAACTCTGTTTTATTGAGAAATTTTTTTCTGTTTTTCAGAGTAATTTTTTTATTTTTCTGTTTTTCGGTGTAATTTTGTTTCTGTTTTTCGTGGGAGTTTTTTATTTTGTTTTTCGGGGTAGTTTTTTTCTGTTTTACGGGGTATTTTTTTCTGAGTTAAGAGAGCAATAGAACAACAGACGCTTTCATTCCTTTCTTGAGAGCTTTATATAATGGAAGCAAACATGACCCGCTTGTTTAGTTTAATCCAGTTTTACTTTGTTTTGGGTTATGTGTCCAACTGATTCTGGAGAAACACTGCAATGTCCAGCAGATCTGAATGGGCTTTTCGTCTGAACAACCGCAAAGTCTTAAGGTGCCTGCGTAAAGTCGACAAACTAATGATAACACCATCTACATGACTTAGTATCTCCCAGTGTCTCAAACCCAAAACAAAGTAAAACTGGATTAAACTTAACAAATGGGTCATGTTTGCTTCCATTATATCGAGCTCTCAAGAAAGGAATGAAAGCGTCTGTTGTTCTATTGCTCTCTTAACACAGAAAAAAATACCCTGAAAAAAAAATAAAAAATACCATGAAAAACAGAAAAAATTACACCGAAAAACAGAAAAATAAAAAAATTAATCAGAAAAACAGAAAAAATTACTCAATAAAAGAGATTTTTTTGCAAGTTAATGCAATACGCTTCCGTAAATAACATCTTTCACTTGTTTCAGAATTGAATCCATTCAGTCTGATAACATTTCTAAATTCTAAAAGAGTCACACAACTAATAATTTTGTCCCATTCAAATTAGCGGCTCAGCCAGCGGACATCTCTAGCACGCCTGCTCTATGGGCCCAACACCGCCTAAGATCTGGGTAAATTTATAACCAGGAAGTCAAATTTTTTGGCTTCATGCGCCACTGAGCAACTTTTATAAGAAAGAACAGAGCCCTGGGGCGCCCACTACTTCACCTGGTAGAATGGGCGCCCCATTTACAAAGGCTGGGTCCTTGCTGCAGAGGCCATGGGCTCAACTCCAACCCACGGCCCTTTGCTGCATGTCATTCCCCTTCTCGCCATTTTACACTGTATGTGGCCTATCAAATGAAGGCAAAAAGCCCCCCCAAAAAGAAGAAAGAACAGGGCCCCATTTTCAATGCTGTTTCCAGTACTCTGTATACATTCATGGGTACTAAGTGCAGTGGAAAACGAAATAGAGAAAACAAACCTGGTACCAAAACTGAGTTGAGTCAAGCCAAGCAATGCAGTGGAAGTGAGGCATAAGATTATTCTTCTGTGGCTTCAGTCACTTTACTTGAGTATTCTCATTTAAGACTCACAAGCTATACATTTTAAACAACCTGGGCACATAATGAAGTTTGACATTTGTAGTCACATATCAGGCAGATATTAGTTGCACTATGGGAAATGTAGGCTCCAGTGAGCTCAACCCATATTAGGAACAAAAGGTCAGGAAATTTCTGCCACTGCTGCTTTAATTCCAACCTTTTTTTTAAATCTTTCTTTTGCAATAATAATGTGAAACTAAATCACTGGCTTACTCTTTTAAACTCCATGCAATTTCAAATTTGAGCTTCCATAGAAATGTTACATACTTTCCAAGTTATGTAAGTCACGCTGTATCGAAAGCGCACACACACACACTGTATGATTTTAAGCCTCTAGATAAAGACTGAGTTCCTAAGAAGTGAAGACAGTCGTCTGCCAACAAAGAAGTTTACACAAGGTGGGCCGGGCCTCAGATGCTCACCAGCTGTGTCTCACTGGATGTTGATGTGAGAGCAAACAAACAAATGACAGCTTCTGACAGTTTATTTTATTAGACTTATATTTCTGCCAACATTTCTACAGTGGGTTTTTTTTAATCAAATGTCTCTCTTTGATAATATTAATACGACGTTAACCAGTTAAATCGTATCCTACCTGGTGCAATGTTGAGCAGTTTGCAAGCCGTGTCGACATCCTTCAGCACCTCTCCCACCACCATGGTCTGCACCTGCTCCAGACAGCGCTCCTCCACCTGACCCTCCATCTCAGAGGGGGGCTCCTGGGGATGGCTCGGCTTGGCTGGACTCAGCTCCGGAGTCCTGGAGGGAGGAGCAGTGGGAGCCGGGGCCTCTGTCATCCTCAGCACCCAGGGGTTCTCCTCTATAGCTGATCTGTCGTAGCAGGGGAGGTAGACCCCCGGCCAGCTGAGCTCAGGGAGCCCCAGCAAGCTGCGGGGCGGCTTGATGTCCTCTGCCTGGTCCAGCCAGGCCATCCTGGTGTCAGTGTTGGGGTGGCTGATGTAGAGAGGCGAGTGCACAGTGTAGCCTGTGTGCTCGCAGCCAGGACTCCCCATGCTCATGTTTGTTTAACACGCTGGAAGAAGAAAGCTCTGTTTTCATAAAGCATCATCGGTGTCATAACAGATTTACACCCTACCTGACATTTTCAACAGCAACACTGACAGAGCTGCATTGATGCTACCATACCCAGATGCTCAATATTTAAACAGCAGCAATCCTAAAGTAAACCTGACATTTGTTACGTGCTATTTACTCTGCTGGGACTTACTTTGAAAAAAGGAATCTGTCATTGTAGCGTTGCAAACTGGAGCCATTGTGACAGTTAAAGTCACTGAAGCCATTGTTTGTCTTTGACTGTCTTTTAGTTTAACTCAGAAATCAATTTTTAATGCCAGAATTAAGCCAGAATCTCCCATAAATCTATATGTTTCGGAAATATCCAGGTCAAACAAGTTCAGCCTGGGTGAAATTCTGACCTTAACTTTAACTATTCTCATCATTCAACTATATCACAAAGCAATCAACTCCACCTTTAAACACAGATAAAGAAAGAGCGATCGAAGCCTTGTTTGACCCCGAACGTTGAAATTAATGTTTGTCAGATTTACTGTAATTCCAAGAAAATGTGATTGCTTGGCAGCTATCACAATGTAACACCCACTGCGTTTTAGAAATATCAGGTCATTCAGATAGATTACAAGTTAACTGCAAGAGAAAAGCTTGATAGAATACAGCATAAAGGGTGGGACACGTATAATACATGGATAAAGGATAAGCAGCTGCAGTGTATGGTATGAGTAAGAGAACAGCTCACCAGGCTGGGAGTGGTGCTGTGTGCCAGTATCTGATCTGACAAAATAATACACCTGTCATAGTTTCAAGTCATTAAATACATGTTTTTTTTATCTGTTTCTTTCTTTTGTCCTTTAATTCGCTGCTCCTTTCAGCAGAATAGAATATGTGTGATGGTATACAAGACAAAAATGCAGGACAAAAAGTATCTGCAGTATCAGACCACACACATCATGCTCAGTATTATATGTAGGCTACCTTTTTGGTAAACATTGATTTTAAAGTCCTGACAGGAAGATTGATCAGTCGACCGGTCCTCCATCCAAAACATGTCCAAAACAATGGCACATGGTGCGAGGTGGTGCAATAAGGAAGTTCTCTCTAAATAAAACAGAGCTATAAATAACTGATAAAGTTATTTAGACGTATATTTGCAGGAGAATAAAGGTGCTAAAAATGACACCAGTAGCTTTTATCTGATGCCTATAAGCAGCAATTTATTTTACAAATTCACCACAAAGATCCATCATCTTTGGAGTTGTGATTAATTATGTAGAGATTATCAAGACAGGAAGATATAAAGATGTAAAAATAGAGGAAAATTTGTGAAAGAAGACGCATGGCCCAGATGTCTGGACTCATGTCTCTACTATTATTTCCTCGCCTGCAGGCGTTAGCAGTTTAAATGTTTAGTGGCGGTAAAAACTCGCTCTTCTAGATTTTCCTTTCTCTCTGGGACAAATGACTTCTCTGTGTGTGTGTGTGTGTGTGTGTGTGTGTGTGTGTTCAAATAACAGCAGCACGCTCATGAAAACAAGTCTGTTGTTTGTAGACTTATATTGGGAGCTGTGTTTTACACCTCTTCAGATAGCAAACTGATATGAGAGGCATTTAGTCAATATGACAAACTGTGTTCATTCATCGCTGCCTGCATTCCACTGTTCTCTGGACAAAAGGTGTTTAACAACACACCTTTATGAGCTGTTCGGTGTCCATTCAGTGAAATGACATGCGGCTGTGTCTGTCCTAGCGTGTGTGTGTGTGTGAATGTGTGTGTGTGTGTGTGTTACAGGTTGCAGGGTGGCAGGAAAGAAGAGAGCAAGAATGGGTGAGTGATTTAAGTGATATTCCTTATCTATACACACAATCTAGTTTTTATCTTCAGGCAAAACATTAATTCATTTGATCAGTCACTTTAAATAATATGTGATGTTTACTGGTCTAGACGAGTGCTTTGCAACCAGGGGTACTCGAGGGGGATGCAGGAGGTCCCCAGAAAAAATAGGAAAAAGTTTTAATTCACTAGAAGTGAGGCCAATTCGAGTAAGAGTCATAAAAGTGACTATTCGGGTCATAGGTTTCACTTGCATTCCGCTTATCTCCTCAACTGTAAAAAAAAAACACAAAAAAAGTTCTGGTCTTGATCATATCTAACCAGTGCCAGACCCGAGGCAAGCTTCCCCCGTACAGCCCCCCATTATTATTAATATTTATATTATTATCATTATTAGGGATGAGTGAGTACACCATTATATATCTGTGTCTGTATCTGTTCAACCAATTAAATTATCTGTATCAGTACTCTGAATGAGGAGTTTTTGCCAAAAGTGGGTGGAGTTTAAATCTAAAATGGGTTGGGCCTAATCGGAAGTTGTTGTTTTAAGCCTGAAATTTATATACATCAATCAGAAGTTGCAATATTTATTACCCATGAGAAAAGTATTAACAGAACAACCTCAGAATTGAGCTTCAGATCCTTTTTTTATCACAAGAGTAATAGATTACACACAGCTACCCTAATGAAGATTTTCCTTTATCACGAGTATGATACTCATACAGGTAAAAACAACATTACCTGTTGTAGATAGTCATCTCATCTGAGTTTTCAGCTCAACCCTAATTAGATACGGTATCTATCTAGCTATCTGTCTATCTACCTACCTACATCTACCTTTCTATCTATCTGTCTATCTATCTAGCTATCTATCTACCCACATCTACCTTTCTATCTATCTGTCTATCTATCTAGCTAGCTATCTACCTACTTATACCTACCTACCTGGGTCCTCAATACGAAAAAGGTTGAGAACCATTGGTATAGACAACATTATAAAGAAAAGAAATTCTTTACTATTATTATTGTTATCAGTTGGAACACTAGTGGAACGACTAGTATTAATAGTGATAGTAGAAGTATCATTGGTGGCAGTGTAGTCACTTTAGTATAATAAAGAGGAAACAGTGGGAATAGAAATCTATGAATACATGACAGTTATAATGGTAGTAGCACTAACAGCAGTATATAATAGTGGGGTAGGGTAGTGATACTAACTAAACACTATTCAACAAGAAACAGCTCTACAGATTTTTTTCTCTTTAGATTTAAACGTTCAATGGGCAAAATACCTTTTTAAATAGGGCTGCACTGAATGTAATAAACCTCCACTATCTGAAACTGATTGAAGTTGAGAAAACATTTTCAGCTGGCTTTGAAGAAATGGCAAGCAAATAGTCTCTCAGTACAGAGACCTTGCACAAATGATCTCAGTGTTGTCCTTTTATGTTATTTCTTTTATTTCTTTATGTGACTTAATGGATATTATAATTGCTCCTGTCGGCCTCGCATCTCTCTCTCTCATCTTGGCATTCCTCCCCAATAATAAATAAGCCTGTGGGCTTTATGGTGTAATTTAATATTCGACAGTTATAGTTTTATGATAACCGTCTTAAGGTAAGGCAGTTTTAAGTGTAGTTTATCTATCTATCCATCTATCTATCTATTATAACATCAGAAGTAATGGCAGCACTAGCAGTGGTGTAGAGTAACTTAAAAAGTACATTTTAAGTTCAATTTTTCAAGCATTGTACTTGCATTTTATGCTAATAAATATTTAATTTCAGATTTTATACAGCAACAATATTTACTTACTATAGTTACTACTTGCTGTAGGATTTCATAATATACATATGAGCCAATATTCAAGATTAAACAACCCATCTGTATCAAATAGAAAAAAAACATGGCTTCTCCTTGACCAGCTACAAAAAGTTAAACTTTTTATTTGTAGAAGGATATTTTAAATATGTATTTTTTTCCCAGTAGAAGTTTGAGTTGTTATTGTATGAAAAGCACAGGTGTGACTCATAAGGTTAAAAGCTTTTGGCTTCGTTATATTCAAATATCCATGCACAACATGAGGACCCTGGAAGTAGCTAAATGGAATTCAGCCGTCATTAATTTTATTATTTACACCTGTGCTTTTACTATTCTGACATGTTGAAATGTATTAATTTTATTTAATGTTTATTTGTATTAGCATTTATACCCAAAGCTTATTTTCAATACCTGTCCCACTAATAGGCCTTTTAGAACACTCAACAGTAAAATACAAACTAAACAGCTTTATTTACAAATAACTCAATGAAAAGCACCAGATTTAGTCATGACCACATGATGAATACAAATCTGAATCTTTTTTTTTTTTTTTGTCATTGTACATGTACAACAAGATTCAGCGTGCTGTACTTAGCTACATCGGAGCAATAAAACAAGTAGAAAAATTGAAAATATAAGAAAAAGTATAAATAGGCATGCAAAGGAAAAGAGTGTACGTATATGTTGATCAGAGTCCTAGGTGTCTTTGGATGTAAGACTGAGTAGAGGCAACTACAAGTGGCAGTGTCGTCGATTAATAATTAGGATATTAGCAGTGGCAGAATTGCAGTAATATAAACATGTCAGTCAGAGCTGGCCCTGGACTTTTGGGGGTCCCACGCTGGATTTGGTTTGGGGAAACAACCCTCAGTGTCACAGATTAATGTGGCACTGAAACAAATTGTGTATAGAAATTACATTAAGCACACATTATGTACAAAAAAGTATATAAAGACGAAAGTGAGCCCTACTGGCAGCTATGCTATCTTTAAATAGACTATCTATTAACCCTTAACCTATGAATTCTTCTTTGTTTCTTGGGAGTGCTTGTTTTATAGCCCAGTGATTCCCAACTGGTCCAGATTTCTCCTTAGTCATTACGTAAAGGTCCACACAGTTTAATATATTCAATGTTATACTTGCATTTGGCCATGTCATCGAGCTAGTCTGCTGTCTCTGTCAAGAAGCTGTCCGTTAGTCATTCACTCCACAGCAGGAAATGGCGCTATGCACCAGAAAGTCATAAAATTTCAAAATAAAGTGTGTTTTTTACAAACTTGACACGCTAATGAGTCACCTGCGGTCCATTCAGAATGCACCCACGACCCACTTTTGGACCGCAACCCACCAGTTGGGAACCACTATCATAGGGGACAGTAAATGACTTGCGTAACCTACCTAAACTTTCCATGTCACCTGTCACTGTGCTGATATGTTTTTTCACTATTTGATGGCAAAAATGGCACGAAAAGTCATATTTTTGTTTATCAAGTCCCATTTTTATTTTATTTCTATCTCTATCTCGTGTTTGTTGAAAAAAAAAAACTTTCTAGGTCAGGGGCCCTAAGAAGCTGCTGATATCTGTTAATAGGTAGGGCCGGATCTGATGTCAGTCAGTGCAATACAGAAGTGACTGTTCCAACTTTAAAAACTGATCCATCCATTATCCATTTTAAGTTTTGTGGCCCCACATTTTGATCCCCTGAACAAAAAAAACATCCATATAAGGATTTAGGAAAAAGCACTTTACAGTTCCCCAAAGTACCAGAATACTTCTTCCACTACAGGTAACAGTGTCAGTAGCAGGTATCATCATGTGGTAGTAATAGTAGTGGCAGTAATAGTGTAGAAGTAGTAGTAGAAGTCTTAATGTGAACAGCAGTCTTACCTTGTCAGTGTTTGTGGATTCAGTAGTTTCCAGTGCCGAGGCCTCTTCTCAGCTCTGCGTAGTTTGTCTCCTCTGTCTTGGTAAAGTGTAAATGTGGACTAAAGTCAAGGTCCTGTGGAGACTGTGTCTGTTTTGCCCTCAGGTGAGGATGTGCTACATATAGTTTTTGTCTCCTACCCAGCGCTCACAGCTGGATCATTTGTGTCCACTCCAACTATGGAGACACCTCATTAGACTCCTGGTCCAGGCAGCAAGAGTTTGACTTATTTGGGACACAGTGCTTTTGTGACATATCAATTCTGAAAGAAAGGGTGTGTCCCAGTGAGGGAGGTTGCTCCAAGCGCCTACCTAATAATGACTTGGGGCAGTATTGCAGTATTCGCATAAAGAGTTCCTTCAGTAAACAAACCTGGGGAGTCTTAACAGCCTGGGGACAAGCTGGGAAGGCACCTGAAGAGTTTTTACCAGCATTTCAAGAATGACAGTTTTTTAGGATAATTTCCCAACTTTGTAAGCAAAAATTACTGAAGCTAAATTTATCTAATCTAATCCGATCCCCTGAGTGTGTCAAAGTTCACCAGTCTGTGTGAGAGGTGGGAACAGTTTGTGTCTATTTTGGGATAAATCTACAACTGAGGCCCGGTAGATATTTAGACTGGAGGAGCTTTGAAACTCAGAAAAAGTGGCACTTTATAAAGTGTTTCACTTGACTTAACACTCACTGTCAAGTTGTTCCACTGTTAGAGGATCAGCACGCTGTTTGCATATAGCAGCTCTCCATTGCAGCCCAGCTTCCAGAGGATTAAAGTGAATTTAAATGGTGAAGAAATGGTCCCAAATATTTTTACTAATCTGACTGGGTGACTACATCTACAGGGCGGAGATGATCAGATGGACAGAGACATATAGAGGCTAACTCTCGTTATAATGTGTCAGGATTAACTGAGATACAGAATAAAAGGGGATCTAATATCTCATTGTAAGTGTGTTTTTATACACGCTTGATCTCTAGAAATGCTTGCTATGTAAGGTCACAAAGGATCTAAAGCAAAACGTACATGAAATATCACTAAATCACCCACAGGAAAAAAGTGGTTAGTCGCTTTGACAGGTGGAAAACTATTAGCGGAAAAAGTTGAATAACTGGTACACAGAGCGAGTACAATAAAGAGAAAGTGAGTGTGCAAATGTTTGCTTAAACTAAACAGTAGTGTTTGTGCGGTGGTGTTGAAATATTCTAAGGAGCTGCTGAATGTGTATCCACCCACACAAATCATATTTAAAGGAACAGTTCACCCTAAAATTAAAGACATACTATATTGTTCCTCTTACCTGTAGCGCTATTATCAATCTAGATTATTTTGGTGTGAGGTATAATGGAACTAAAGGGCACTCGGTTTGTGGTGCTCAGAGTGCCAAAAAATACATTTCAACACTCAACAGCAATGTCTCTTTCCAGAAATTATGACCTGGTTTCTCAAGATAATCCACAGACCTTGTGAGCAGTTTAATGTAGGAACTATTTTGTTTCTGCTGAACTACACCCTTAAACTGTATCACTGCGCAGAAGGAAGCATGCATCTACTGCTAGCACACTTAGCACTACTGAGCTAGCTAAGATAACAGCCATAGAAATAAAATACATTTGTTTTGAGTAGTTTCACATAGGAACTATTTTGTTTCTACCGAACTACACTCATCAACCATATCACCGCACAGAAGGAAGCGTGCATCTACTGCTAGCTCACCTAGCGCCACTAAGCTAGCTAACGTTACAGCCATAGAAATAAAATGAGCTTGTTGTGAGCACTCTTCACCGACTTGTTGTGAGTAGTTTCACGTAGGAACTAATTTGCTTTTACCGAACTACACCCACCAACCAAATCACAGCAAACAAGAAATAAATAGCGTCTTCTGCTAACTGACCTAGCACCACTGAGCTAACGTTAGCTGATAAAATGAATAGAAAGGACATTGGATTGTTTGCTTGGATTATTTGGCTAGTGCAAAGGAATATGGCGGTAGTTGTTAGTTGTTATGATTACAACACAAGTCAGGGCTGCCACAAATTGTGTCACACTCGTTAGTTTTAAAGTCTTACACTTATGTTTCTATTTAAACAGAAAAAACAACCGTACACTGATCTAAGTTTCTCTTTTGTACTGTACTTAGACTAACGTTAGCTTAACTGCCTTGTTAGCTCATCGTAAAACACACTATACTCCAACTTGACAGAAACAAAATAAAACTCACCAAAACCATCTTAGGTAGTCTTGTTAGTCATCCAGTTAGTTAGTAAACTGCTCCAACAATCACCAACTCTGATTTAATTCAAATAATCCTTTATTCACCGTGTTAGATGTGAAAATATGCTAATCTGTATGCTGTTTATCCCCGCAGTCTGTCTCAGCTGCTCAGTAGGCCTACATTGTGTTTCAACAAACACGAAATAAATGGCAACAAAAGGGAAATAACACTTATGATGATATTTTAAAAGTAACGGATTGCCTAGTTGAAAATGTATCATGCTACTCCACTGCTTGTTCAGTCGGCCAAATTGCTGCAAGTTGCTTTGTTTTTACAGAGGTTTATATGGAAGTTAGCCCAGTACAACAGTTACAGTGGCAATGGTACAAATTAAAATGGCTGCCGCTCTGACCATCCTAATATGTTGATTTGAATGGTAATGTTCGTTCTACTCTCATTTTATTTTTATGGTTACAGCTCATCCAAGGAGCACACAGAGCATGAGCCTCTCGTCCATGAGTAGATGCACACTTCCTTCTGCAGTGATACCATAGAGGGTGTAGTGCAGTAGAAAGAAAATAGTTCCTACATGAAATGGCTCACAACAAGGTCTGTAGATTGTCTTGAGTAATGGGGTCATGATTTCTGGACAGAGACATTGCTGCTGAGTTTTTTAAATGTATTTTTTGTTCTTTGAGCACCACAGCTGAGTTTCATCTAGTTCCATTATATTGGAAAGAGGGCAGACATCTCTATGGCCGATATCTCCAACACTTAGCAGCTCACTCATAACAATCTAGACTGATAAACAGCACTACAGGCGAGAGAAAACATATGTATTTTGTGATTTGGGAGTGAACTGTCCCTTTAAAGGCCTTCTCAGAAAAAGTAGAATTACAACTTTGGCAACCTGCTCACAACCTGTACTAGTTAATGAAGTAAAAAAGTTAAGTAGCCACTGCCTAAAAGCAAACTCAGTGAGGTTTTTCAGTCAGTTGGACCTTAACAGTCACTCAGCAGCTGATCTTGAGTTTACTGCACTACCTCAATATGTCCCTTGTGCTTTTGCTGTGACACGACATGTAACCTGTGGAAATGTCAAGTGAGAGATGCTCCCTCAGGCACTTTGGTTCTGCTGCTGGACAGAGCCGTTGACAGACACAATAGAGCCCATTACATGGTGAGGCACCTTAGAGGAGCTGCATGCTGCTTGTGACCAGTAACCCTCCAGGCTAACATGTAATCTGACACATCTACTGGCCAGGGTCTGTCTCTGAACTGCAGCTACTGTTTTCTTCGCATAGCCCATCGATTAAAAAACTGTTTTCATTACTCATTATTTTGAAAGTATTTTGAATAGCGACTGACACCAGAAACCAATGCACTTGTCTTGCCTCATGTTGTGTATTTTCAATTCAGTAGCACAGTTTGCAGCTATTTATCAGTGGTGCTTTACTATTTGGTGGGAAGTTACTTAATGTAGGAACCTGGCTCAGACGTTTGAAGGAAAATGATGAGCAAGAGCTGGTACTGTATGTCAACAATGCATTTAATTATGCAGCACTGTCTTGTTTGGTGCTTTTTATGTCCTTAATCTCCACCTGTGGCACCAGTTCCCTGAATACCTGAGGTCTACTGAAGGTGTTAACACATTTAAATCAGGGCTTTAGACATTATTGTTCACTGTGGCTTTCCAATAACCTGGATACATCCCCTTTTTTTCTTTTATCTGTAACTATTTATTCCATTGCATGTTTGTTTTTTCGTCTTTTCCCCAATTTATTATCTTTTAGATGTAAATTTCATCTTAATGTCTTACATTTTTAAGTATTTCTATGCCCCGTAAAGTACTACAAACTGCCTGACCATGCCTCTGTTCAATGCATAATTCTGTGTTATAAGATTTACAGCAGTGCATAAGAACATTTGGTAAATGTGCTGCTTGTTAGTGACCATAACTTAATTTCCACTTCATCACTTATGAATGCAAACAGATGGCATTTTGCTAGATTTAAAACTGAACAAGAAAAACAGAGTAGACTACATAGGATGTCATGTGTAACTATAACTGACTGTGTGGAAAGATAATGAAAATGCAAAATCTGGTGTTCAAATCTGTGTAAAATTATGACTTCAGAGCTACTGTAATGAAGTTTTCAGTCCTGGAAAATCAACAAACAACTCTGCGGCAAAAAAACAACAACAAAGCCCAAGACTTTCAGTGATAATTTAATCATACAAACATTCATCAGACATACAGGGAAAAAAGCTTTCATCTGTTTGCACTTCCTCACTCTCATAAATGTGCTGTTGTATGAGTCTAATGCCAACTGATTCATTCTGCAATCTGGCCAGTGGAAACCTCATTACACCAGGGGACAAAACACACTTGATGAATTGACACTGACAGCAAATACCTCTGATGGCAGGGCGAGACATTTGAGGTGTTGCACAGGTAATGCACAGAGAGCCACGTGACATGTTGTATCGGCTGGTGTTGTCATGTTGTCAAAGCTCAGTAACCCTGGGGCCTACAGTTAGCGCCTCAATTAAAAGGGTGTTTACCTGATGAGGTGGTCTCACACACTGGCTGTGGTTGATGAGATAAAAATCACAGAGTCGATAAACCCTTCGGGACTTAACTGTACTTCTGGAGGAGAAAAGTATGCACAGGAGGTCGCGGTACTCAGTGCATAGATCAGCCAGTTAGTGCAATTAAATATGCAGCAACAATTCTTCAAGACAACATGAGGGTGTCATTTCATTGTAATTTTACTGGTGCGGTTAATCTGAAATAACTGAACTAAAATTCTCTAATGTGTTTAAGCAGTTCACCAGTGATGAGCAAAAGCATTTGCAGGCCTGAATGTGCTAACATTTTAACGAGACAGAAATTTTCAGAACAATAATTACACTAATAAAACTGCCAGATCAATGCAGATATACAACGTCGAATCTTTGGGTGAATTAATGTTTAACCTCTTCTACATTCATCA